TCAGCCTCTCTTTTCCTATCTGTTAAGTGGGCTGGCAGCTCCTGGCTGGGCTGCTGGAAATGTCCTGGCATGTGAGTTTTTTTTTTTTTTTTTTTGTTTTTTTGGTCTACTGGGGATTGAACCCAGGGCCTTCACACCGAGCTACATCCTACCCCCTTTTTTATCTTTTATTTTGAGGCAGTCTCTTGCTAAGCCACTAATTGCCCAGGCTGGACTTAAACTTGATTCTCCTGCCTCAGCCTCCCAGGGTGCTGAGATTGTGAATTCAGTATGCACATGAGACCAGCCCCCTGCTTACAGGAGAGTAGAGGAGCCACTGCCAGCCAGGTCCTGCTCAGGGAAAGTCAGTTTCTGCTGGGAGGGAGGCAGGCAGGACAGGGCAGGGCAGGTAGCGCAAGCCAGGCTTTTGGGCCCTGGCTGTCGCCTGTCAGGGCGGCTCCGACCTTGGAGCCCCGCAGCCAGGTCAGGCCCAGCGTGCTTTTGAGCTGCTTCCTGGGCTGTAGACAGACTGACTCACTGACGTGAGAATGAACGGTGGAGAGGCACAGATCCCTGGAGGGAAATGCCAAGCTTTGCGAGACTGGTCAGGGACTTTGGATGGCTGCAAGTTCTCCCTTGGGACCCAGGGACAAGGAGGGGAGGGGCCATTCTCAGAGCGTGACCCCTAGGAAGGCAAGTCCAGTCCCTTGCTTGCGTCTTCTTCCTCCCCTGCCCTCCCTTCCCCTCCCTCTGCTTTCCTCTCCTTTGTCCCCTCCCTCCCTCCCTCCCTCCCTCCTCCTCAGGCCCTGCCAGATGAGTGGGTAACCCAGACAGCAGACAGCAGCGGACAGGGACAGCAGGGTGCATGCTCCCTGGTCTCAGTGCCTGGACTCTGCTGGGTTCCTCCCCTCCCTCGGGTCTGCAGCTCCTGCTGCTGGCACCACCCTCACTGGCAGCTCTGGCTCTTGCTCAATGGCAGCAGGGCCCAGGTGGACGTTTGTGCCCTGAGCCTGCCAGGTGCTCGGCTAGGGTTTTGCCAGCTCAGGCTTCCGGGGAGGCCCAGCGCCTATTTTGAGAAACAGAGGCAGTGAGGTTGTCGAGTGTCATATTTCCAGGAGAGAATTAAAGGCACCAGCGCTCAGCAGTCATTCCCCGAGGCAGCCCTGTGGACCGGCTGGGCTGGCTCTGTGTTTCACGTGTTTTCCCGTCTTCCTCCCTCACCTGCTTTTGCAGTAACTGGGATTGTGCAGTGCTGCCATCCTTAGGGTGCTTTTCTATTTGCTGTGGGCAGCAAGAGTTCTATTTATTAACAGAGCCAGAAATAACACTGTGAGCTGATCAACTTTGAAGTAGTAAGTGAATAGTCTAGCTGGGTTTTTGTTTTTTATTTTTTATTTCAGTAGTGGGGATCGAAGCCAGGGCCTTGTGCATGCTAGACGAGCTACATCCACAGCCCTTTTGTATTTTTTAAAACAGGATCTCGTTAAGTTGCTAAATTTCCTAGATTGGCCTCAAACTTTCACTCTTCCTGCCTCAGAGTGCTGAGATTGCAGGTGTGTGCCACCATGCCCAGCTTGTTTGCCTATTCTTTTTTCTGGTTCCAGGGATTTAACTCAGGTCCTTCTTTCAAGGCAGGCAGCAGAACCACTGAGCTAAATCCCTGGCCGTTTGGCTATTCTTAAAAGCAAATATGCACAAGTGTATAGGCAGAATTGCAATGAAGTCGTCAAAATGCAGGCCCGGAAATCAGACATTCCCCGGAAGACCTTGGCATGGGGATGTCTCATGGGTGTCACTTCTGTACCCCGTGGTGTTAGAGGCCACGGCCCCGGCACAGGGCTGCGGGTTCATTTTCCTGAGAAATTCTCTGAGCTCTCTTCTCTTCCCATCAGTTACTGGCTCTGTAGAAAGCTGGATCATCGGATTTCTCAGCCATTCGGTTATTGACAAAAGTAAACAGAAATAGAGCACGCTTATCAGGCTGCCGCTGAGGTGCATTTCGGTGTATGGCGTCCTAATCCCAGCCCTGCAGGTTTTATCTTAGGGTACCCCTCGTTTTGCTTCTCTTTCACACTTTGCTAGAAGGAACTTAATACAGCTGTTTCTTTAATTCCCACCAAAGGGGAAAAAACCCCACATTGTGTGGCTTGTGAAAAGCAAATCTCTCTCCTTGATATTTTCTTGCCCTCTGGGGTTTGTGTTTCTGCTCTGCCTGGGGCAGTGGGTATTGAAGCCTCTTGCCCTGGCTCACTCTGGCATGGACCCAGGGGAAGGGTGTGGACCATGCCTTAGGACTTCTGAGCTGACATCAGTGCTAATCTGGCGACCTTCTCCCGGGAAGCTGGCATGAAGCCAAAGAGGGTGGCCCATTAATCCTCAGATACCAGTTGTACCTCAAAACGTGATGCAGCCATTAAGAAATTAAGGAATTCCATTTGAACCAACATCTGCAAAACTTCAGTCTGGCATGTCAAGAGCAGAATTGCTACTTATGTTCATTTCCTCCCATACTTCTTGGGGGCTGCCTGCCCTCTCCATAGTTATGCATCATGTAACTGACTCATCCTCATCCCCACGGTTACTTAACGCATTGATCAGTAATTCACGCATAACTTCTCTGGCATTTTCATGGCATGTGGCTAAGAGTGGCCACACAGCCCAGGAAAAATAGGACAAACGATTGGGAGAAAGTCATTTGAAGTCTGGCTGTTATTCCCTAAGGAAATGAGTGCCCCTGCTGCCCAGGCCACAGCTCAGGGGGAGGGGGTTGGAAGACCCTTGAGGGCCCCTGGCCATGGCACCTGCAGTAGGTTTCTGGGGCCTGCTGAGTGGGAGGCTGGGCAGCATGGATGACAGGATGTCCCATTCTGCAAGGGTTGCAGCGGTTTCTGAGGTGCCAGGCCCTGAGAAGGACTTCCTAGGAATGGAGTTGCTTGGTCTCTCCCTGGGCCTGTGGTTATCAGGGATGGGGCAGTGGAGGCCACAGGAGGTTAAATCCACCATCAGGCCACTGGCTTGCTGAGGTGGCGAGGAGCCTGGAAGTGGGGGACACCCCTGCCACTGACACACGCGTGGGGCACCTCTGAGGAGAGTCCCCGACTATCCCCTGTCACTTCTCCTTTCCTCCACCCATGGCAGCCTAGGGAGGGGGCGGCAGGTGGGAACAGGATGGCGGGGTGCCTGCCAAGAGCAGGTGAAGACAGGGAGGTTCTGGTGCTGGGCAATGTGGGCTTCGAGGGTCAGTGAGCAATGCAGGCCACTGAGATCAGACAGAGCCCGGTGAACCTAACCCAGTGGGCAGCAGGGACCTCGGAGCCTTTGCCTCAGGGGACAGCAGGAGAGGGATGTTTGTGAAGGAGTCAACTCCCGACAGGCTCGGACAGAAGAGATCGTAGCCCGGGCAGCATGGACCAGGGGCCTCGTCAGACTTGGGAGGAGGAGGAGTAGAAGGAAGAAGAGGAGGAGGAGCAAGAAGAGGAGGACAAAGAGGAGGTGGCGAGGTGGGAGCTTGGTGACAGTGGAGCCCCTGCCTGAGATGGGGGGCTTAGTTGGAAAGAGCTCTTCGTGGGCACCGCCAAGGTCTGTGACCCAGGACCAGTGTGACCTCTGGGGCTCGCAGAAGGCAGGTGACAGCAGGTACGATGTGCTCTCTGCAGTAAGGAGGCAAAGCAGGCAGTAGCTTACAGGGGACAGCTGAGGGACCGCTCTGCTTCCTCCGGGCTGTGTTGCATAGGCCACGCTGCCCCAGAGGGAGAGGGGTTGACCAGAACTCTGGGGCTGCTGGCCAGCTGTGCAGCACTGCAGCCTCCACAGAGAAGCTGCCAGTGGCCAGAGGTGGGGAGATGAGCAGGAGAGAGCCAGAGCCCTCCATCCCCAGGCCTGGCTCCCCTCCCAGGGCAGCCCTTGCGTGTCTGCCTGCGTCCCTCTGCTTGGCAGAGTCCTGGGCCAGTGCTATTTGGTAGAAAGCAAATATGAGGTTGGATCCAAAAATACAGTGACTAAATAAAAATTTTAAAATTATTACAGGAAAAGACACATTGCTGTGAATCCCCTCAAAAATCCTCCTCTTGCTTTGAACACACTCATCCCATCGTCCTCGCCACTTCCTCCAGCAGCTCCAGCCGGAGTCCTCTTGCCTGAGGGTCTTTAGCTGTCCTGTCCTGGCTGCCTCAGTGTTCTGAAACCCTTCCCTTTCATGGTTACTGTGACTTTGGGGAAGAGCCGGAAGTCACACGGTGCCAGATCAGGTGACTGAGGTGGATGAGGACAGGGCGGCGTTGTGTTTTTATGAGTTGCCTTTTGGTTGCATGGTGCTTGACAGTAATGTTCACTGTATTTTTGATCACAACTCGTTAGGACGCTCAGGAAAGAGGACTCTAAAACTGCTCCAGAAAGTGGCCAGAATGATGGGATAAGTGTGTTCAAAGTGAGGGCAAGAATTTGGGGAGGTCAATGGCAATTTGTGTTTCACCGTAATGATTTTTTAAATTTTTAATTGAACCATTCACTGTATAGTTGATCACACCACGTATGCTTTTTAAGCTTGAAAAGCCACAGGACACTGTCCCCTGAGGCTGGCTACAAGGAACTATGGGTTTCTGGTTGCATCGCTTTGGGAGGGAAAAAAAGAAAAATCAGAACTCTGAGGAGGAGCCAGACCTTGCCTGACAACGACAAGAAGTGCTTTGTACAAATTCCATGAGGGCACAAGGACACAGCTGCTGGCTCCTGAGGAGAGCTGCCAGCCGCTCAGAGAACGAGGCATGCTCCCCAGGGACAGGGACAGCGCGCTTGCATGCCAGCCAGCAGGGAGAAGGCAGCCCTCCTGCTGGGCCTTCACCCTGGGGGCTTCTCCTGTCGCCTTTCCAGGTCTGTGTCTTTGAACAATGCATCCACAATGCTGCTCTAGCTGGCCCTCTGCAGAAGGGCTTGAGATTCCTTGCGATTCCTTGCTGGGAGCCCAGGCATGCACTCTGCTCAGGTGGCAGTTCATGAATAAGTCAAGGCTGTCTATCAGAGGCTCCCGGTTCCCCGAGGCTGGAGGAGCCATTTCGTTCCTGCCACCCGAGGGACTGGGGCCACGTCCTTCCAGGGCCAGGCCAGGCTCACTGCAGCCCATGATGTATGCAGACATTGCCTGCTGGTTTGGCAATCAGTAAGTTCTTTTCTGATTTATTTCATTTTATTTGTTCGGAATGTTCCAACCTCAGGAAACGAGCACTGCCTATTTTGTGAAAGGAGATATCCTTTTTCTGTAATATTCAACAATGCTGCAGCTCGAGTTATTATCTGATTCTCCGCTCCAGCTGTGGTCTCTGCCCATAGCTAAGTGATCTGCAGCTCAGGGCTCTTTCTTAACTTACCAGCTCTTGGGTAATCTCTGTGGGACCCGGCTCTCAAATGTTCCTCTCTGAGTATTTACTCGATATTGGAGGAGATAGCAGCTTTCCCATACATGCAGGCCCCTGCCTTTAGGGTTTGGAGAGGGTTATGGACAGCTTTTGTCAGTGTGTCCTGGAGACCCTATCTGGAAAGCTCATCTTTTTATGCTGAGTTACTGAAAGCTTCCCCCACCCCCAGGGCAGATCTGTGAAATTCCATTGTGAGTAGGATTTCTTATCAATTCTGAATGCATTCAGGGCATAAATGAACTTTTATTGGGAATCTTAAGGAGCTGGCTTCTCTTTACCCTTACAGAGATAAGAGAGTCTTTGTTAATCCCAAAGAGTAAACCTGCTAATAGTAGTGAAAATAACTGTAATGCACTCCCAGTCATGGAGCACTATGTCTCAGCATGGAAACCATAGGAATCCTCCCCCTAACCCTCACAGAAGCCCACCAGCTCTCCCTCCGTTTAGCTCTTGGGGAAACTGAGACTCACAGAGTGGAGTAGCTTGGCCACATCCCTCTTCTGCTGGGGGTCGCACAGTGTGGCAGTACCTGCGCTGTAGGGACTGCTGTCTTTCTGACCCCAAGCATGGCCGTGGCTTCCAGACCCTGGAGCTGTGTCTGGGACCCACATCCTGAAGACAGCGCACTTGCATTGCCCTGTGATTCGGCATTTTTGTGGGTGCAGCCGTGTCCCTGCTGCCTGAGCTGCAGTGGTTTGAATGGGCTTCCCAGTCTGCCGTTGCCTGCACGCCTGCCTTAGCCCATGTGAATCCGATCTTCGCTTAGGCACTGCTCTGGCGAAGCATTGTGTTCCAGGGCATGGAGAGTAGGGAGAGCTTGAGGCCTCGCATGGGCTCGCGGGGCCCTGAGGGGTGTGGCAGGGGTTCTGAGCCCAGTGTCCCAGCGTTCCCTGTGGTTGGCCCACGTTGTGAAGAAGCCCTGGTGCTTCCTGCTGTGGAGAAGGCTCGGGGCTTTTGCTGGATGGTCAGAGGACCCTCGACCCCCAAAGACATTGAGGAGCCTGGGGATGGCCCCAAGCCCTGGCCCACCCACCTGTGCCTGCCACCAGCCCTGCCATTGTTCTTCTGTCCCCTTAGGCCTCTCCCTGTCCCACAGCCTGTCCTGACAGGCCCTGAGATGCTGCCTGAGCCTCTAGACTCTTGACAGAGGTTGTCCAGATCCTCGTCTGAGGGGCGGGCTTTTCCCTGTGTTGCTGTGTGCTGAACTTCACCCAAGTGGCCCCTGACAGCGCCACTGCGGGGACCAGCACTGTAGCCCACACAGGGTCTGGCTTGCTCCTGTTACCCCGGGGTCTTTGGTTTTCAAAAAGTACTGAAGGAGGTAGAATCACTTGGTGGCTAAGTAGTGTCCCAGGCCCCAGAAGACCCCGCTGGAGCTCCAGTCTTCCCCAGTGTGGGGCTGGAAGAAAGCTCCTTGGGCTGTTGGGTCCCCCATCATTGCGCTGTAGAAGGGGCAGCGTGCAGTGGTCACACGAGTGTGTGTGTGAGGACTGAACATGTACAAAGGGTCTGGTGCAGCGACTGGTCCCTACATGATGTGGTCAAGGTACACAGTGAATGTTTACATTTTTAAAATTTATTGCAGTGTCTTTAGGAGGTTCGATCAAATATAGGGTGAATACTGCTGCTGAGAGCCATCCCACAAAAAAACAGGCCCTAGAAGCATGACGCTGTGTTCTCCTCCACCCTACTCAGCAGATCTGGCACTGTGTGACTCTGGCTCTTCGCAAAGTCAAAACGACCATGAAGGAAAATGTTTTGAATCCATTCAGGACATCACAGCAGCCAGGACAGCAAAACTAAAGACCCTCAGGAAAGAGGACTCCAGAGCTGCTGCAGGAAGTGGCGAGGATGAGGGGATGAGTGTGTTCAAAGTGAGCAGGAGGATCTTTGAGGAGAATGAATGCCAATGTGCCTTTTACTGTAATACTTTTTAAATGTTTTAAACCTTCACTGTGTCTGTCGATCATGCCAGGTACTTGTTCAGAAAAAGAGGGGTGAGAACAGATCACTGCTGAGCAGAGGTGCGGCCCCACAGTGGACACAAGGGCCTCCGTGGCCAGCAACCTGCCTGCCCCTGCACCCTGTGTGCAGCTCAGGAGCCCTCTGCCCGGAGCTGGGCCTGGCTTCCTGACGTCCACCCCATGCTTGCTCCCCGGCAGGGCTCCTGCTGACCAGGCCTCTTTGCGCCTCCACACTTCACTTGTCACTGCTAAGCAGGAAACTGTGGTCTCTCTTCCCTTGGACTTGAGGTCTAGAGCTGTGGCTGGGTCTAGAGGGAAACCAAGGCAGACTGTTGACAACTCCCAGGCTCCCTTCCAGGCTGCACAACCCAGGGTGTAGAGTGGCTCCTGGGAGTGCCTGGCTTCTCAGTAGGTTCCCTGCAGGTGCTTGCTCCCTGTGCCCTGTAACCCTATTGTCAGCCAGGGAACTGGACAGACCTCTGGGTGGGCAGCCTGACCCTGTGGTCTGCCTCTGTGTCTGGGTGGTGAGAGACATTACGCGCCCCGTCTGAAGGCTGGCTCCAGCTGGAGTGGTGGAGGGCGCAGGAGGCGGAAGCCCTGCCCAATCCCTGGCCCTGTCGCTGTGGAATCTGGTTTTAATCAGCTGCCCATACCCTGAGCCTGACACTCATGTCCCTGATCCATTCAGCCTGTGTGGTCTTGGTGCCTCTGGACTTGGGGGAGAGGATGTCAAGCCCCTGCTGCAGGCTGGGAGCCTCAGAAGGGAGCCAGGCAGGCACCGTCCAGAAACTGCCTGGGCGATGGTGGGGCCGAGCTGCTGTGGAGCTGACTGGTGACTGTGAGGTGGCCAGCACATTCTCTTCTCTCCTTTCCACTCCTGCCAGGGCTCTATAGGAGCAGGGTTGCTGCTACGTGACTCAGCCCTGAACAGCCCAGAGCGCAGGCCTAGGGGTGGGTGTAAGGAGAAGACCTGGTGGCTCAGCCTGTGTGTCCTGCGTGGGTGCCGTCCACCCAGAGCACCTGCAGGGCGTGTCCAGAGCAGGGGGGCTAGGTTCCCGCACCGCAGGCTCTTAGGATTCTGCAGAAACCGGCCGCCTGTCCTGCCTGCCCTCAGCCCTGCACAGGTTCTGAGCAAGCCATCACCTGTTTGGTGAGAATGCTCAGGGTTCCTCAGGACCGAACAGCTTTAAAAATGGCTAACACTTGGGGTGATGCCACTGCCTGTTACCCCAGGATCCCAGAGGCTGCCACCCTCCTGCCTCAGCCTCCCTGAGCGCTGGGGTCACAGGCATGTACCACTAGGCTGGGCATGTCAAGCATTTTAAACACACTTTTCAGGAGAGTCCAGTGCATTTGCACTGCAGTGCCACCCCCTCCATCCATTTGCAGGACTTTTCAGCTTGCGGGGGCGGGGGGGCACTGTCCCTGTCCCAACCTCTGACAGTCGGCCCCGCTTCCATCACTGTGAATTCGACAGCTCTAGACCTGGGACAAGGTAGAGTCCCACGGTTCAACCTAGATATTCACTGGCCCCTCGCATCTGCCCACACTCTGCCAGACGCCAGTCTCTCCTTTGTAAGGCTGCAGCTTGGTCTGCGGCGCGGTGTGTTTACCATAGTTCGCCTGTCCGCTCATGGTTGGCGGTCACGGGACAGAGAGCTGCTGATGCGGGTCCTGAACTTCGCGTCCAACCTCGGGCGTCTCCCGTTGCTCCTCAAAACACTACGCATTCTGTAAAGCAGAATCAGAAACGGGGAAATGAAGCAACAGAGATGTTAAATGTAGATTTCTGTATTAGTTGCTTTGATCAAACCATAGAAGAACTGCTGCTAAAATCCTCTGCCATTTTAATGTTAAGAGGGGGCTTCTGTTGTAAAGCAAGCCAGCAAAGCGTCCCGTGAACTGGCGCTCAGACACCTGGGTCTGTCCCTGGTCGGGTGGCCGAGGGCTGGCCTGGTGCGGAGGGAGGAGACGGGGGTGCACCGGGTCCAGGCAGGGGCGCTGCTGGACTTTCGGCGAGCAAAGGCGGAGGAGGAGCGGTCCAGTCAGTGAGGACGTTCGACCCTAGCGGTCCGGGTGTGGTCTCCAGCACAAGGGCGCCAATCAATGTGCCCGCCACGCCTCTGAGCCCGCAGGGCCAGAGGAAGCTCGAAGAGGATTCGCGCTGGGCGAGTGTCCACGGCCTTAGCAATGTTTTCTCTTCCAAAGGAGCCAGGAATGTATTTCATGAGTGCTAAACGCTCCGTTTTGAGAAATGTTGGCTCGCTTCCTGTGCGCGCACACTCACGCATGCACACCGCGCACACACGAAGCCCATGCTTCGAAAACTGCCCCGGCCTCGCACCCCGCTGAGGTGCGGCGTGAGCTGCAGTCCCCAGCCCCGCCACGCGTGCCCGGGGGCGCTGTGTGCCGGGAGCGGCCGGAGAAAGGAGTCTGCGCCTGCGCAGGCCACTGGGCGGGGCCGGCGGGAGCCGGTGCGTTTCCCGCGCTGCGCCCCCAGGCGGGGGCTCCGGCCCTGGCCCTGTCGCGGTGGGCGGAAATGAAGCGGTGGTGCTGGGGACAGAGGGTTCATTTGGCTAACAAACGTCCAGCCCCGTGGTGCTGTCGCGGAGCTGGCTGCGCACACGCGGGGTCCCTGGGCTTCCGCCTGGCCGTGAGCTCAGAAGGGGCCGGGAACGAAGCGGTCTGAGCGGAACATGCAGGCCGAGGTTCCACTTAGCTAACGTAGTGAGGAGCACATGGCCATTCGCTGCCCTCAGACCCCCGCTCGCCCTGAACTCCCTCACCCCATCCTCCTCGCATCGCCTCCGCGGCAGCTCCGCAGTGCGCTGTCCTGGCTGCCTCGGTGTCCGGAGGCTTCAACGCTTCCCTGCCCTGGTCACTCTGACTCTGCGAGGAGCCAGAGCCGCACGGTGCCAGAGCCCGGAATACGGTGGAGGAGGACACAGCGTCACGTTTAGGAGCTGCCTTTCTGCTGCGCAGCGCTCGGCAGCAGCCTTCACCGTGTTTCTGATCACATCTCCTAAAGACGCTCAGGAAAGAGAACTCCAGAGCGCTTCAGAAAGCGGCAGGAAGAGTGGGATAAGGGTGTTGGAAGAGTGTGTGCTGGGGAGTGTTGCGATGGCTTATGGCAATGCGCCTTTTGCTGTAATGTTCTTCACTGGAGCGCTCCCGGTGTGATCGCACCTCTGCCCCAACTGTTGGGTCACGCACACGAAGGCATTAGGCCACCGGGCGGGTGCGGAGCAGGCGCCTCTTCACAGGTGCTGCTTTTCCTGCAGGAGGAAGATGAAGGCCCACGCTCCCGCACCCCCGGGGAAGCCTGCCCCACTGCGTGTCCCAGCAGACCGGACGCCGCCCGGAGACGCGGCCCTCGGCTGCCCCCAGAACCTGATCCACCAGCAGGAGGCGCTGCGCAACAGCACGCTTGACGTCACCGTGGTCCTGCCCAGCGGGCTGGAGAAGCAAAGCGTGGTCAGCGGCAGGTGAGGGCCGTGCCGGGCTTACTGCACCTCGTGCGGGTGGGGGTCCCGTTCTGTCACGTCCGGCGCCCTGCGAGGGCCACAGAGCCGTGAATCCCCGAGCCGTCCCGCCCCCCTGGAGTGCGTGTGAAACCCGCCCCTCCCCCGGGCTCCCCTTGTCCTTCAGGAGAGCTCCTCTGCAGAGCCTCCACGAGTGAGGGTCTGACCAGAAAGGGGTGCCCGCATTTGAAAGCCACTGCATGGGCTGTGTGAGCGGAAACGGGCAGAGCACTGCTCCCAGCCTCCGCCCGCCCCAGCTTGGCACTGCAGCCCCGTGGACGCCACGCTCTTTCCCCTGTGCTCGGGGAGGCCACGCTGTGGGGTGCAGACAGCGGGGTGGCAGGGGCTGCTCTCCACGTGGGGTCTTGCTGGTAGCCATCGCCCCTGCAGGGGGTGCAGACCCTAGGCACGCACGCCCAAGACCCGCCCAGGGCCGGCGTGGGAGGTGCCATGCTGGAGCCAGGGCCTTGTGGCTCTGCCCTGCCCGGGTTTGTGCGCCAGCCAGGCGGTAGGGTTGTGAGTCTGTTTCTTTGTCTTAGAGCCCTCAGCAGTAAGTACATTTCCCACCCAGTTCTCCTCATAACGGAAGAAGTAAGAAGTATGCCGTGGCATGCACCTTCGTCTTAAAACGTTCTAGAGCGTGCAAGACATGTTGCCCGCGGACGTATTACAGTCCGCTCCCAGTCCTGTACGTTGGCCCAATTCCTACTTACATATGAAAATGACTTCTGTCTCAGTTCTTTGAGACCCAGATCTGCTCTTCTGGATGAGGGAGGAAAGATGGAGTGCCTGCCTGGAAAGGAAAAACCATTTCTGAAAGATACTTTTAAAGGAGCACATTCTTCTACCTGCAGCCTTAGCCTCCTTTCTTTCCCGATAGAGCAGAAGTTACACGCACGCAGCTTTGTGAGGTAGTTAAAGCCGAGTGTTTGGGTCACTTCTCCAGTCTCAAAGCCAGTTAGGGTCCCGTCCCCAGGGGCGGCTGCAGCTGGACAGGCAGAGCCAGGTCCCAGCCTCCCCAAGATGCCTGTGCCTGGGAAGTGGTTTTGTACGTAGCACTCTTTACTGATCCAAGAGTGGGCTGAAGCCCAGTGCTGGCTCCCATCAGGTCTGCTCCAGTTACTCTCCCTGTGTTTTCTCCCTGAGCCTGTTCATGGAGAACCTGCTCACCTTCCCATGGGCGGAGCCATAAAGACTCTCATGAGGATAACATGTCAGGTCAGCAGTTGGGTGCTGATGGCCGAAGGCTGCAAATCAGCAATTTTGCTTGTTTTTGAGCTTCTCTGAATTGAGACATGAGAGTCAAGGCCCTGGGCCATGCTGAAGCAGAAGTGTGGCAGACGTCCAGGCACTGTGTGACCAGCCCCACCCAGGACAGGGGGAAGGAGCCCAGCGGGGAGAGAGGAGGGTGGAGGAGCCCGCGCCCAGCCTGAGGGAGTCTGGAGTGTTGGGCTGGGCACGAAGGAGAGATGTCACATCTGCCCAATCGGCCCATCTGCCGAAGGCTGTGTGGAGCCAGCCTCCTGTTCCCAGGTCCAGAGGCCAGGCGGGGGCGGAGGGACCAGGCTGGCCCATCCCTGGAGGGCAGTGACACTGGCGCAAACTCACTAGTGAGTGGCTTCAGGTGATCAGACTGCGCCCCAGTCCCTGGTGGCCCTGGGATGCTCGGAGAGAGCAGCAGTCTTCACAGCCTCACACGGGGATCGGGCTCCCTATGGGCCTCCGCGGTACAGGCCAGAGTGGGTCGGGGCACAAGAAGGGCACAGCTTGGGTGCCGCTGGTGCTGGGCCTCGTTCATGGGCCATCTCCTGTTCAGGGACCATCTCATGTGGTCACTTCCGGGCAGGTAGGCTGTCAGATCCTCCTGGGTCCTGTCTTGGCTCATCTTCGTGTCCAGCACCTCGTCCCTGGGGGCTGAGCCCACGGCCTTCACACCAAGCTACATCCCTATTTTTAATTTTAAGACAGGGTCTCCCCAAGTCACCAACTTGCCCGGTCTGGGCTAGACCTTGTGACCTCCTGCTTCCTCCTCCCAGAGTGCTGCCCTGTCTGGCTCCACCTTTGCCGTTAAGCAGTTCTAAAAGTCCAGTGTTGTAGCAAGGTGGGCCCTCTCCAGCGAGCAGCCTCCCTCTCCCAGGAGGCAGCATGGTGCCTTTGTCAGACTGGCAGCTGCTGCCTGGCCTAGAGGCGACACTCGGACCTGATCTACACCCTCACCTGATTGTCACTGTGCCTTTGTCAGGACCTGGGCCCCAAACCTGGATCCCTGCGGAAACCCAGCCTCAAACCCGGAACCTGCTCTGGCTGAAGACTTCTCACAGACCCGTGAATGCTGCCCACCAGCTCCTTGCAGGGCCTGGTCCCAAACTCTGCTGGCCCTGCGGTGGGACCGTTCCACCCACCTGCCCTGACTCTGTGCCTCCAGTGTGTGCCTCGCCTGGAGCTCGGGCCACCTGCTGGCCTCGGTCCACACAGGACCCCTGGCCATGTCAGGCAGAGTGAGCTCCATCAGCACCGGAACTCAGGGAGGAGTGCTTCGGGGCTGCAGGTCCTCCGCGGGGGTACAGTGTGCAAATCCTAGGGCCCAGGGATCTCAGTGGGGTCCCTGGCCTTCCCTGTGGGGTCACCTGGAGCTTTGAGATAGCACAGTTCCCGGCCCCGCCCAGCACGCCAAGCCTGCGCCCTGGGGTGGGGCAGCTGCACCTTTCCCACACGGCCCTGGCTGTGCCTTTGCCAGTACAAGGTCCGGACAGTGACCAGGGTCTCACCGGTCACTTGCTCCTGCCCACAAAGATGGGAACCTCGGGAAGGGTGAGTGGACGCAGCCCAGGACATCGGCTTTGTCACCACAGATGCAGGCATTCTGGGTCCGTTTCTAAGGTGTCCACATCGGCTGGACAGCAGGCTGCAGCGCAGAGCAGAGGGGCCGCTCTAACGGCCTCCCAAGGTCCGTGTCCTCAGGGCGTGGTCCCCAGGCGGCCTGTGACCCCCCAGTGTCCCCCTTGCCCTGGGCACAGGCTCCTCCTCTCCACCCAGCTCTAACAGGACTTTGAAGAGTGCCTGGAGGGTCAGTGTTTCTTATCGCAGTCGTCGAGCTTGCAAAAACAGTTTTTGTCTGTACATTTAGAGTTAGGTTTTCCAAAGAAAGAAATATAGAAATTCTACTTGCTTTTAAAATTTAAAAACAGAGATCACAACAAATGCCCCAAGTTAAATTTCACTTCTAAATGATGCACACTGAAAAGACATCCAGGGAACAGAGGTAAAGTTGGAAGAAAAAAAACAGGCATTGAAGACAAGGGGAGAAAATCTAAGCGATCCGTTCTCGTGACCCTGCCTGCTTTCTGGGCCCGGAGTTGTGGGTCCCTTTGTCACTGTGTGCTGCTCCGCTGAAGCTGGGACCTAGCCTGAGGGTGGACAGAGGGAAACAGACACACGCATATGTGCACCCCGGCTATCTTGGGGTTCCTGCAGTGCCCAACAGTGCTGGCCCTATGATGTTCCTGAGGCAGGGAGGTCCCCGGCCCCGGCAGCCTTCCTCACGTGCCTGCCTTTCCCAAGACACAGTGTCACTGTTTCAGCATGTCCCTTGTGAGTGCGGATTGCCCTGCTGTCCCCTGGTGTCACAGAAAGTATCTCCACCCTTGCCATCTGCTTAGAGCAGGGTGGTATCCAGCCAAACACAGACCGGCAAGGCTGAGGCAGTGACATCTCCCTGCATCGCACCCAAACCAGGCAAGTCAGCAGCAAACCAACTGGCCTGCTTGGCAGACCCTGCTCTGTGGCCACCACTGAGAATGACCCTGTGCTGGGCTGATTCACGAGAGACTCTAGCAGTGCTGCATATTGTGCCCTCACCATGGGGAAATTGAGGCCCAGAGAGCCCTTCTCCACCAAAGCGGGCTGCCCCGAGTGCCCCGTAAAACACTGCAGGCCCCAGGAAGGTGACTAGCCCTGGAAGGAGGCAGCACAGGGCTCAGACAAGGGTGGGGACTCCGGTCAGAGCTGGCCAAGCCTTCGCCCTGGGAAGGCGGTGAGACACACAGGGCCCCAGCAGGGAGCGAGTCACTGGGGCCCAGGCCGGCCCTCTTCCCCGGTGGCTTCAGCCTGGAGGGCAGTGTGGGGCTCAGCATCTTGGGTATCACTGGCACCTCGGACACAGTCCTCACCTGCGCCGGATGGAACCTTTTGGTTTTTGTTTAAATCCTAAGTGAAAGCCAGCTTTGAACTAAAGGCCCCCCCGCCCCCACTCTGCCCTCTCGGGAGCCAGGAGAGAGCAAATTGAGACTAGACTGCCTCTGAGGTTGCCACAGAAACCACCCTGTCCCAGGGGGCTCCCAGCTGCAGGGCGGATCCAGGTCCCCTAGCTCCTCCAGCTGAATTAGTGCTCGCTCCACTCTTCCCTACTGGATGCAGGAAGGCTCTGCTCCCTTCCCCTCACCCTGCTGTGCTGTGATGGCTGTCTTTGCTTTTGCCCTCCCCCAGTTTAACAGAAGTCAGAGCAGGGAGATTACTGATGAGCCTCAGCTTTCAGCAGTTGAAAACATAGCTGCAAAGCCTGCCATGCCAGCACTCTGTGAGGCTGAGGCAGGAGAGTCTCAAGTTCAAGCCCAGCCTGGGTAACTTAGCGATTTGGTGAGACCCTGTCTCAAAGCAAAACATTTTGAAAATGGAGCCACAGCTGCAGCTCAGTCCCCAGCACCCCACACCCCCAGGCTGTTTGCCTTGTGAGGGGGCGTGGTGCACAGGAACCTCCTGCCCTGTTTCCTTCCAGTCAGCTCCTGGGGCCATCACTCTGCCTTCCATGGGGAGCTGAAGGAATTGGATCCGCCCACGCATCACTCTCTGGTGTGTGTGAGCTCGAGCTCTCTGGTTCCAAGTGGCCCGTGGGTGACAGGCGCCAGCTTCCTGGGCTCCTGTGTCTCCCAGGGTGAGGGCTGGAGTGGGAGCCTGCATATCATCCTGGAGACGGCGCTCACACTCTGCTCTGGGTCGATCCACACGTGGTTCATAGCTGTCACTTGCAGCACTGGAATAGCAAATGGAGCACTTTGGTACTTTTCCTGGGGGTACTGGGGATTGAACCCAAGGCCTTTGCACTGAGCTACATCCCCAGCCCTCTTTAAATTTTTATTTTGAGACAGAGTCTTGCTAAGTCACTAAGTTGCCCGGGCCAGGCTCAAATGTGTGATGCCTCCCAGTGTGCTGGGATTATAGGCATCCACCATTGGACAAGCTGGTTTTTAAAAAATCATTAATGGATGTTGAGTTTTATCAGATGCTTTTTCTGTATCAATTGAGACAATTATGTGGGCTTTTTATGATTCATGCTGTTGATAAGATGTATCACGTTGGCTAGTTTGCTCTGCTCCCAGGGACAGAGCCCACTTGATCCTGGGAAAGAATCTTTGGAATATGCCGCCAAGCTTGGCTTGCTAGTATTTTACTAAAGATTTTTGCATTCATGTTCCTCAGACATATTGGCCTGTGGTTTTTCTTTTCTTGTGCAATCTTCTGTCTTTGGTGCTGGTCTCATGAACCATTTGGAATGTTCCCACTTCCATTTCGTGTAAGAGCTTGAGAAACAAGAGTAGAATTCTTTGCGTGTTTGGCAGAACTTTCCGCTGAGCCCATGTGGTTCTGGGCTTCTCTCTGCAGTGAGGGTTAATCCCTAGCTCATCTCTCAAGACTTGCAAGCCCATGAGGTTCCCTTTCTCCTTGATTCGGCCTTGGTAGGTTGAATGTATCTAGGAGTTTGATGCTTCTGGGTCACCCAATTTGCCGGTGCATTATTGTTCCTAAAAGTGCCTTTACCTTCAGCTTAAAACTTAGTTTTTCTGATGTTCTGCAAATAACTGAGAATGTGCTGTCTCGTGCCCACAGAAGTATCATTTGTGCCGATCGACTTTAGATGACTCAACTCAATGCACCCATGGATTTAACTCTTTTCCCAGCCATGATGTTTTGTTCTTTGAGCAATGTTGTTTACTCACTGAGAATGCCCACATGGTGCTGTACAGTCATGCAGAAGAAATTAACGAGCTGCCCTTGTTTTTCTTCCCAGTGCGTTCAATCTTCTCATTCCTCCACGCACTCTGCTCTGCCCTCACTGAGCTGGGCAGAAGGGAGCTCACAGACACTCCTAACGCTTACAATTTCCTTTCCCTCTTTCAGCCACGCAATGATGGATCTGCTGGTTGAGCTCTGCCTGCAGAATCACCTGAATCCTTCCCACCATGCACTGGAGATCCGGTCCTCGGAAACCCAACAGCCTTTGAGTTTTAAGCCAAATACTCTGGTCGGGACCTTGAATGTGCACACTGTGTTTCTGAAAGAGAAAGTTCCAGAAGAGAAGGCCAAGCCCGGCCCCCGCAAGGTGCCCGAGGTCAGTGGGCAGCTGTGAGCCGCAGAGGGTCGGGTGGGCAGCGCCTGGGTTCGGGCGGGCTGGGTGGAAGTGGGCACTGAACTGGCTTCATCAGCACGGCAGAGCTTTCCGAATGCACCATGTCCACTGCTGTAGAAAGGGAATCGGTGTGGAGCAGAGCTGCCCTCTGGGACTGTCTATAGAAGGAAGTGGTCCACAGTTGCACGCTTGCAGTACGGCAGCTACCGGCTACGGGCCCCGTCAGCCCTGGAAATGTGGCTGGAATGAGGAGCAAGTAAGTCTCCAGTCTCAGGGATTCTGAGCGGACTGGCTGTGCTCCCCGAGGAGACTGGGCTGCAGCTGGGGTCCAGAGGAGACGCTAGCCACCCTCTTCCTGGAGAGAGAAGTGGGGGTGAAAGTCTGGGGTCAGAAAAGTTTACACATTGTATTTGGGGAGTGTAAGATAGCTCCATTTCAGGCTTTTTATTGGTGATTAAAACTAATTGCAAGTTTTTTGTGCTTTCCAAGAAGGCTTTGAGGTGGATCTTTTGGTTCTATGAAAACAAATGGGGCTTACTCTTAGATTCTTGGAAGCTGTGCTAAATTGTCTTGCTTTTAAAAATGAGAATTCGGCAGCAGTTTATCCCCTATGACTCTGTTTCGGTGGTTGACAGATTCTGATTGCTGCCCCTCCACAGTGGAGGAAAAGATCCCTTGTGTACCCGCTGACCTCCCTTAACCTCCTGGTCCCCAGGAACAGCTAAGCCCAGCGTGCCTGGTGCTTCTTGGAGATCCCTGGTCAAGGAACAGGGTCCCCTCTCCCTGCTGAACTCTGTCATCACCATGGTGACCTGCTCCCACCACCCAGACCAGTCTCGGTCACTCTCGAGGCAACCCCTGGACACTGTGTCCACCTCTAGCATCTCAGCGTCCTGTGGTGATCAGTGATGCTGAGTTCGAGGAGGCGGCTGAAACTCGGAGCGCTACAGGTTTGGGCGGCCTGCTGTGTTTAGCCACGCAGGCTCAGCCTTAGTCAGACTGAGTGTTTCTATTATGTGTCTGGTGTTGGAAAAAGATAAAACATTTCTAACTTAAAATGCACGTGCGCATTGTGTTTATGTAAATTCAAGCTGGTTGTGGCAGTGCACACCTGTAATGGCAGCACTCTGGGAAGCTGAGACAGGAGGACTATGAGTTCAGGCTCAGCCCCGGCAACTTACTGCCTTAGTGGGACCTTGTCTCAAGATAAAAAATCAAAAAGGGATTACCATGTGTCTCATTGTGCAGGCCCTAGATTCAGTCACCAGCACCGAAACAAATTCTGTGTCTGCACATTCCTTCCACGTGCCTTACACACATATAGAGTGTGCTATGTGTGTTCACCTGGGTACGCTACGTAAATGTTCACAGAGCACATGTCCTGTGTGGGTCTTCTGACTTAAACAAGAATTTGATGTTTGTTTTGTGAGGGTTTTTCTTAATTAAATTGTTCATATTACGTCCAGACTTTTCCTTTAGGAGATGTGTGTTCACACCAGACACCCCGAAGTGTGTGTGTTGGCTGTCACACCTGGAGGCCTCTCTGAGTCTACCTCCCTGGAGTAGCAGCTTGCTCCTTAGCAGGAGGCTGAGCCTGTGCCGACTCCCACGCTGACCCTAAGTGCTCCCCTCCCCCGGCGTCCCGGGCTCCCCGAACTCGTGGGGGGAGGCTGCGCCCGCCAGCGCTCAGCAGGCTCCTCCGCTCTGTGCCCTGCAGAAGTCCGTGCGCCTGGTGGTGAATTACCTGCGGACACAGAAGGCTGTGGTGCGCGTGAGCCCCGACGCGCCGCTCCGGAGCATCCTGCCGCTCATCTGCGCCAAGTGCGACGTCCGCCCCGAACACGTGGTCCTGCTGCGCGACAGTGCAGCCGGCGAGGAGCTGGAGCTGTCCAAGTCCCTCAGCGAGCTGGGCGTGAAGGAGCTGTACGCCTGGGACAACCGGAGAGGTGAGGCTCCCCAGCGGGCGCGCACACTGCGCACGCACGCACGTGCCCGCACAGACAGGCACGCGCCTCGCTGTCCGCCCCGTGCTCTCTTGTCTGGGGTGCGGATTTTCAGGTGTCCCAGAGTTGGTCCGGGCTTGCAGTAGGAAGGAGGAAAGCGGGCTGATTTTCGCCTCTCCACTCTCATTATGCTCTTTCCACCCAGTTCCGAACACGCTGTTGCCTGCTGTCTCCTTGTGAGCTTTGTTAAGCAAAGGGCAAGGGCGAGGAAAGATGGGGAGAGAGTAGACCTTCTGCTCCAGCTGCTCAGAAACCGTGCACAGACTTCTCTGGGTTTTTCTTCTCAGTGGTCAGCACTGCTCTGGGGCCGGAAGACGCCGCTTCTGTCCAAGACCAGAGCCACACACGCCTCTAGCAGTGCTCCGAGGCTGGCCTCCTTCAGCCGCGGATCAGGCCCCAGGGACGACTTTGGCGCCTCTTTGGCCTCCTTGCCGCTGCGGGCCCAGGGACAGGCGGTGCGAGCAGGCCAGGGAGGCCTGCAGCTGTGCGACTGTCACGCAGAGGTCGCTCACGTGGACCCCGAGCTTCTCCTGATGCGCCCCATTCACACCACACATCATATAGGATGGATTTTAAAATGTGCACATTCCAGCTTTTCTATGGCATTTTTCACAGCTCTTCCAATAAAGTGCCTGCTTCTCCTTACCCGAGGGTTGTTAGCTCAGTGGTCGCAGCGCTGCCCCGCCTGTCCCTCCCTCGGGTCAGCCACCCTCCTGGGCACTCGACCCTCACTGCCCTTAACACTTAAGGGTGCATCCAGCCCGTGGCCAGGGATCTGGGACTCTTTTCAGGCGGCCTCCCGATGCTCCTCTGAGCTTTGGGGTGAATGCCTCCCTGTCCTGCACAGTGGCTGGCCGTTTCACTGCCGGTGCTGGGCTTGGACCCGGGGCCTCGCCCTTGCTGGTTGCCCAGGGCCTTTGTCACCCGGTCTTCTCAGCACCCTCCCTCCACAGCCCTGGTGCAGGGCTAACCGTGATCGATGTGAGTCTCTGGAAGCTCCACACAGTGTGAGCAGTGGGACAGGGCAGTACTCTCCCGCATCGGGGTCCGAGCACCAAAGCCTGCGCTGAGGCCAGCTCCCATCACACGCACGCACTGGGCTCTATCTGGGTGGCCCGTGTCACTCCTAGTCCTGGGAAGCGGTGCAGAGCTGGCCCAGGAGGAGGGCAGGGCCTGGCAGCCCCTGGTGGTGCTGCGCGCAGGAGGCAGAGCCCAGCCCCCTCTATCCGGACCCCAGCACAGTGCAGCCTCTACACTGGGCTGCCCTTGCTGGAAACAGCTGCCCGAGCCCCCAGTCCCTCTGCACTGCCTTGGGCATTGTCCCTGTGCCATGGGGAGGCCTGCTGCACCCCAGGCCGCCAGCACCCCTTCCCTTGGCGTGGGCCGGCTGAGATCCCCTGTTCCCTGCCACTGGCCTGCACCTCACTCATTCACCCCAGGTTCAGGAGGAGAAGGGTTGCAGACAGTGTCTCCCAGGACCCCTTTCTGTTGCAGCCAGCCGGGCCAATGGACCCTTGGGGTGGGGGTGGCTGTCCCCTCTCCAGCCTTGCTGGGGCTGAAGCCCAGCCTTGGAACCCAGGTTGGGCAGCTGCAGGGAAGCAGCTGCTGGCACAGTGCCCGCCAGGATCCTGGCAGGGACACCACGAAAATATGGGCTCAGCTGCCACCACCATCCATGCAAGGCCCAGCGGCCTGCAGTGCGGGGCCCTGGGCGGCCCCAGCAGGGCAGCTCTGCAGGTGACCACATCTGCAGGGGACACACAGACCCCAGCTGGGGGCTGGGTTGGGTGGGCCTGCCGGTCTCGAAGTGGCCCTCACTCTGCTGCCTGCCTTTTCCAGTTCTGACCAAAACGCAGTCCGAGCCATCCCTGAGCTGCCGAGGTACGGTGGGCCAAGGGTCGAGCTCTGCACGGCTGGGGATGCGTGTGTGCCTGAGGTGCTGGCGGTTGCTTTCTTGGTGGCTCAGAGAAGAGTGGTGCTAAGTGAGGAGCTGGGGAACCAGGGCGAGGCCTAGGACCCCAAGCCTCTGCTGCAGTGTCGGGGGAGGGCTGAGGGGCGGGGACAGCTCCTCCCTCCCGTGCACTAACCACCACTCTGCATGCCTGGGGGCTGTGGGCCTTGAAGAGTCACCTTCCTGTTGTACAAGTAGCAAACACTACTCCAGACTCATGCGTCCTGGCTCCTGTGTCAGGAGTTCTCTCTGCATGGAGTGCACATGTCCTGTCTATTGACAGGGAGCTGTGTATCTGTGTGCAGAACTCAGAGAGCGGGCGGGGTGGAGAGGAAGAAGGTGCGTGCACACGCGGCAAATCCATCCAGGCCTCTGCCCTCCACGAGTCACTGGGATTCTTGGGGGCCTGTGCACACACCAGAAGCTTCACGCCAGCAAGCCTCGAATGCTGCGGGGAGCTCTGTCCTGTTTGTTAAAGTTCTTAACACCAGATTTAGTCTCATCCAAGGGGATCACTGAAGGAAGCCATGGGCCTGGACTTGGTGCCCTGAGCCACCATGGCCTGTGCCGTGGACAGGGCAGCGCTGCCTTGCAGGGCCTGGGAGGCCTGCAGCCCCTCTGGGCGGCTCCGAGGGGCCGAGCCAGCGGAGGCTGGAAGAAGCAGCCCTCAGATGCCCCTTTACCACCAGGTCTGGGTGGCTGGCGATGGTGGGTCTGAACCTCTTGGGATGAGAGCCCCGCTGAGTCCACAGAAAGGCTCAGGCCTCTGCCTAACGGGCTCAGCATTGTCCTTCTTCCTGCTGTGCTGTCTTGACTTGCAGTTTTTCTCGGACGAGCAAGTGTTTTGGACCCCTTGGCCTTTCAGGGTTCCCTCAGCTTCTTCTGTCTCTCACTTGTCATCTTTCTCATTTTCAAACTCATTTTACTTGTTTTATTTTGCAGTACTAGGTATAAAACCCAGAGCTTTCACATGGACTACATTATTATTATTATTTTCATTATTTGAGATGCAATGTCGCTAGGGTCTTAAATTGCCCAGGCTCTACTTCAGTTTATAATCCTCCTGCCTCAGCCTCCCAGAGTGCTGGGCTTACAGGTGTGCACCACCATGCCCAGACTAAATCATTTTAATATTTTCAAAAAAGGAAGAGCTTTCTTATCAATGAAATGTGACCCTGGAATAAAGCTTTTATCAGTATTTAACTTCTACAAACTAGAGTGAATCCGACACAATCAGCCCTCTCTCACCTGCCCCTGGCAGCTGTGACCCCGGATCCGGTGAGCCTGCTCCAGGGCCTGCTGCTCCTACTCCTGGGCTGAGGGGACCATGCACATCCAATGCCACTGCCCACTTCTCTCGCTTGGGCTCATGGCCCAGCCAGAGTGTCTGCTGCACCCGAGTCCCCTCAGGCAGCAATGCAGCTTCCCTCTTCCCAGACCAGCCCCTCCCCAGGGCCCCATGGCCAGAATACAGCACCCCAACTCTCGGGGTCTGCTCTGGACCTGCCCCCCCCCCCGGCAGGTGACCTCGGTCCGGGGACTGGCACTGTCCTGCTCAAGAGAGAAACCCAGGCTTGGGTCCGCTGCAGTCTTCCCAGCCAGGCTCTGGGTCTTCAAGGCGTCCTCTCTCATGCTACCCACGTGAGCACACGCAGAGACACACCCACACCCAGGACACACACCAGCTCGGAGGCCACAGTGCCCCTGGACGCACAGGCCAGTGCCGTGGCTCAGCTGTGGCGCCACCCGCCACACTGTCCTCTTTGCCATTCGCTCCAGAGGGTCCTGTGTGACTCCCTGCACATGTGCACGTGTGACTGCACAGTGGCCGATGGTCCTGGCCTGGAAGTGGTGTGGCGTGCGCTCCACTAACCTCCCCTGCACATGGCTGAGCACTGGCCCCTACGCTGTGGGTAAGGGGTGTGCATGCCCGGGTGTGGCTTTTCTGTGTGGACGGTTTTCATGGTCAGGCATGTTGACTAACGCACGGGCTGGTGCCTGGTCTCTGACTTGGATGTGAGTGTGTGCACACCTGGGTGGTTAACACTTTCAGGTTGAAATACTGATAGTAGAGTTTGTAGACTCCCAGCTGTGACTTCCAGGGATGGACCTGGTCTGGCTGTCATGCAGGTGATGGTGACACCGGGAGTTCAGCTTCCTGGCCTGCAGCAATGGCTGTGTGCATCCTCTTGCCCTGGCTGTGTTTACACCTCATCTCCCAAGGGTGTGGGATGAATGAGCAGCCGAGGCCTGGAGTGGCCTTCAGGTGCAAACCAATGAGTAAGGTAACAGGGGATCCGGCTGGGGCCGCATGTCCCCCAGGTACCACCCCGCCCGCAGATGGAGAAACTGAGGCCCGTAGGCACTGCCCAGTGTGCCCATGTTCAGGTGCCTGATGTGTCCCCATGTTGAAGAGTTGGAGGGTTTACACCTCCAGGGTCAGGACAGCCCTGGGACCAAGCCCCTCCCAGGTCCCAGTGGGGCCGATGCCACGGGTCCGCCTGCCCAGGGCACCGCGGGTCAGGCTGCTGCCAGCCACCAGCCCCGTCTGTGCTCAGGTGTGTCTTTGGGGAGGCGGCCAGCCTGGTGGTAGACTCAGAGGGAACCCGGGGAAAGGGAGAACCAGGACTCAGCCCAGCGCTTAAAGAAAGAAGGAAAGGAACCAGAGCAAACCATCGCCCCCCTAGAGGCTGTAACCAACAGGCAGCCGTTCTGGCTTCAGTGGGAGAGAGCAATCTGGAAACAAGGTCCTGCAGATGTGGCAAGCGAGTTTCCAACGCCAACTGGGTGCCCAGTGCTGTTCCTCCGGGTTCTAGAAAGGAGCAGGAAAGCTGGTTTGCAATTGCACCTCGTCCCTGATGCTTATTTTTTGTTGGTTTTTTTTCCTATGGTACTGGGCATTGAACCTAGGGCTTTCACACTGAGCTCCAGCCCCAGCCCTTTTTACATTTTTTATTTTGAGGCAGGGCCTTGCTAAGTTGCTGAGTTGCCCAGGTGGGACTAGAATTTGTGATCCTCCTGCCTCAGCCTCCCAGAATGCTGGGATTGCAGGCATGTACCATCACACTCGGCTCATTCATGGCTCTTTAAACTGGCATTTAGCCTGATGTCACCATCTTTGGAGCTGTGCGGCTCAGAGGGTGGCTGTGGGCACCTCATGTGACCTGTCCACGGAGAGATGTACTGTCCACCCCACTTAGCGCCAAAACAGATGTAAAACGCTGGTAACATTTACACTGATTGTGTGATGGGATGATACTCCTCGGGACACACTGGGTCATGTAAACTTATAATGGAAATTCCTCTCACCTGGATATTTAAGTGCAACTGCTATCAGATAGAACATTACCCATGTGGTTTGCATTAGCTTTCTCTTGGACAGCCCAGCCTTAGAACTCTCATTGATTTCAGTGGACCCTTGAGTTATGACTGGCCTGACATAAGAACAACTTGGGTTACAACCGGAATTCCAGTTTTAACTTATGACCAAAGTTTTGAGTTATGACCCTAATGCTGGCCACTTGTGCTTCCAGATAGTCTCAGATACAGATTGAACCTTTAAAGAGTTCTGGAAGGAACATGACAGCATCCTTTCCTGTGTGGGGTTAATTGAGAAATCCTGGGCCAGTGTCTCTCTAGAACACTGGGATCTGCCTGTGTGCAGGAGAGAAACTTTGAAGGCTGTGTACAGGAGCCTGAGCCTCAACTGGCTAAGTTGAGTTACAACCGCCCCTTGGAACTCAGCCCTTGGAACAAACTGAGTTTGTAAGCTAAACAGGAATGGCCACGTGAGAGAAAATGTGGCCTTAGCCCTCAAGGCTGCGAAAGAACTTTCTGTGATTTCCTAAGCGAGCCTGGGGCGTCTGGGGAGCTGCAGAAGCTGAGAGAGAAGCCGGAGATGATCTCCCCTCTTAGAAGAATGACTACCAGTTTAAGAGTGAAAGATTTATTCACTGCCGTTTTTTAAAAAGTGAAATCTTTAATGTCTTCTTCCAAAGCTGAGAAGTAACTTGGTTCTCCTTTTTTCCAGAAACATTTAGAAAATCGTCACTTGGCAACGACGAGACAGATAATGAGAAGAAAAAATTTCTGGGATTTTTCAAAGTTAATAAAAGAAGCAATAGTAAGGTAATGGATTACATATGCATATGATTTTGCGTTGCATAAAATGGTTTCTTGAGATGCTTGTACTGAATCTGTCTTGGAATTTTTCTGAAAGAGTGTGCTGAGGAGTAAATTCCTTCAGGCAAGAGGAGTGCACAGAAATGACAGACTCTGAGTCTCTGTGCCTGGCCCTACAGCACTGCTTCTCAGGATAAAGGTGTTCCCTTCAGGGTGAAGGCAGAGCCTGTGGGGACCAGGCCAGGGCAGGAACCAGTGCTGGGCAACCGAGCAGGTGCTCGACACTCAGTACAGGACTGTGGACGGACGAATCAGTGAAGTTTTAACTACAGCAGTTCTGCCGGGCTTGGTGGTGCATGCCTGTCATCCCAGCACTCAGGAGGCTGAGGCAAAAGGATAGCTGTAAGTTTGAGACCAGCCTGGGCTACACAGTGAGTTCAAGGCCAGCCTGAACTATACAGCAAGGATTAGCTCTCAAAACAAAAACAAAACAAAAACAAAAAGCAATAGTCCGCCGCCCTATAAAGCCACCAAATGAGGAGCTGGGAACCCATCGGAGAGCGTGTGCCGACCTGTTGCTTTCTCTCCCAGGGATAGAGGCCCTCTCCTCTCTAGCAGGGTCACAAATGCACCCCAGGACAAGTCAGTTGTACTGACACTGTCACTCTTTAGAAAATAAAACTTGAAAGTTGTTTTTTTAATTTAATGTTATAGAATAATTTAAAACCATAGTACCAAGAGTAGAAACAAGGATGTTTTTGTAATTAGTTATGAGTCACAGAACTATAAATTCCTCCTAACTATTCAAAAAAGAGCCTGGTTATTATCCCTGACATATTTCTTTAGTAGGCATATACAGAGTGTGATAGAAAACTATGGTGAATGTTTAGATTTTTTTAAAACTTTATTACAGTAAAAGATGCATTGCCGGGCCGGGGATTTAGTTCAGCAGCACCGCGCCTGCCTTGCAAGTGTCCTGAGTTCGATCTCCAGTACCAAAAAAAAAAAAAAAGATGCCTTGCCATTAGCACCCCTCAAGGTCCTCCCCTCAGTTCAAACACACTGAGCCCACCTCTTTGCCACTCCCTGCAGCAGCTCTGGAATCCTCTTTCCTGAGGGTCTTTAGTTGTGCTTTGGTGGCTCCCTGGATGTCCCAAATGGACTCAAAATGTTTCCCTTTAATGGTCACTGTGACTTTGGGGAAGAGCTGGAAGTCACACGGTGCCAGGTCTGGTGAATCCAGTGGCCAGGGACAAGGTGCCATGCTGTTGCAACCCTGTCTTTCCATTGGATAGCACTTGACAGCAGCATTCACCATACTTTTTTTATTACACACAGCGACATTCAGGAAAGGACTCCAGAGCTGCTTCAGAAAGCGGCCAGAACCATGGGATAAGTGTGTTCAGAGCGGGGCATCTTGAGAAAGATTCATGGGGATGTGTCTTTACTGAAGTAAATGTTTTCAATGTAAACATTAACCAGGTATCCTGATCAGCCCATGTGTTACTGATATCTAGTGCTGTTTCCTTACTAATAATAGACTAAAAGAGACAAAACTGTCGCTGTGAGCACGTGGCTTGTGGTTGGCAGTGCAGTGGGGCCGGCTGTCATCGGAGTGGTCTGCAGCAGGGGGAGAGAACTCCGTCCCAGGAACCCCGGGCATCTGCTCCCACCTGGCCCAACACCCCGCAGCTGCCTGTCACCTTGCAATCGCCACCCCCACATGGCCTTTCACCCTCCCTGTGTCTTTTGGCAAGCCTCCCTAAGTGGGCTATCTGCACCTGGGCCTTGGGGCCTTGAGCTCTTGCTCCCCCCTTCTCCATTCCCGACTTCTCCTCTCCTGTCAGAATTACCTGAATTATACGCTCGGATTCACTTTTTTAAAAAATTTTTTCCCATTAAGTTTATTGGTACATATTAGGTATAAAATACAGTTACATTCATCACTGGGATCCTGTACCATTACATGAGTATCTTGGTTCTTATTTTTTCCCCTTCCCCTGCCCTCCCTTCACCCCCTCCACCCTTCCCTATTTGCAAAGACTTTGTTTCCATTTTTTTCCTTTTCTCACGTTTTTTTAGGAAATCAACACTGTGCTAATACTGAAACTGGATAAAGATAATAGAAAAGTATGAACATAGATAAAAATTCGTTTAAGAAAACAAACCATTAGAAGTCAGATCTGGCAGGATGTAGTAAGTGGTTTTATTATAGGGATGGCAGTGTTGGTTCAACATTGGAAGGTCCACCCCCACAAGTCATCATTGTAACAGAGGAAAGGAAAGAGCCATATGATCCTATCAGTAGTTGCAGAAAAAATATTGGACTAAATTCTACAGCTGCTCATAGTAAAAGCTATCAGGAGACTAGAAGTAGAACAGAACCCTCTCAACAGATAAAAGACATGTACTCCATACTTCGAGCAAAAACACCCTATATGAATGGAAAAGATACAGTGCTTTCTCCCTAAGGTGGGGAACAAGGGCAGATATGCCTACTCTTCATCTGTCCATTACACTTTGAAACATAGGCCCAAACCAAAATAGTCTGTCAATAAAAAGAAACAAATAGCATAGGATTGGCAAGGTAGAAGTAAAATCTTTATATGTAGATGAAATGATCATCTACAGAGAAAATACTAAGAAATCTCTAGGAGGCCCTAGAACTTGTATTTGAATTTAACAGGATTAGAAAACGCAAGGTATATATACAAATTCAGGTCTATGTATACTTGCTATAAATGAAGAATTGGATATTGAAATTTAAAAGTTATGTAGGCATACAAAGGACCTGGAAAAGAAAAAAGAAAAAAAATAACAGTGTTAGAAGACATTTATTACCTAATTTTAAGACTTCCTCTAAAGCTACAGTAATCAAGGCAGTGTTGGTGTAAGGAAAGACATATAGATCAATGGATTAAAACAGAGAATCTAGAAATAGAACCACACATATATGGTCCACTGAGTTTTGAAAAATTATTTAACATTAACATTTCATAGAACATAAACTCAACTCAAGAGCAGAGGAAAAGATAATGTATTCAATAAATGGTACTAGAACACCTGGTATCTGTATGTAAAAAATTAACCTTGACCCTTATATAAAAATAACTTGAAAGGATCTATGAACCTAAATATGAAAGACTAAAACTGTAAAAGTTTAAGAAGAAATTATAAGGGAAAATGTTCATGAATTTAGGGTAGGCAAGAATTTCCTAGGATACAAAAAACATGATGTATAAAAAGAAAAAATTTGATAAATGAGATTCCATCAAAATTTAAAACTTTAAAAGACATTGTGAAGAAAATGAAAAGTAGTCCTCAACCAGAACATATTTATAATACATATAACATATGACCAGGGTATATAAAGAACTCTTATAGCTCATTAATAGACAACCCAATTAAAAAGTAGATGCAAGAAGATGATAAATAGCCAGTACAGAACAAGGAAAGGTGTGCAACACTAGAATCAGAAAAATAGTAATCAGTACAATAACAAGATTGAATTATACACTCATTAGGGAGATGAAGTTAAAAGTTTTAAAAGAACAAATATCAGCTTAGGTGTGAACCAGTTAGAACTTTCTAATACTGCTAATGTGAATGCAAAATGATAAAACCATTTTGGAAAAAAATATGGAAATTTCTTGTATTACTGTTAAGAACCAGTAATTCTGTTCTTAAGTTTTTACTTAAGAGAAATGAAAACACATGTTCACAATCGTTTTGTACCTATAGGTTAACTGTCCCTTATCTGAAATTCTTGGGACCAGAAGTGTTTCAGATTTTGGGTTGAAATCTACTTGACCTGCAAAGAGGATAGCTACTCCTGCTTTTTTTCAGATTCCTGTCACATGGAGCATTGTCTTCCACCCTTTAACTTTCAGTCTATGAGTTTCTTTTTTAATTAAGTGTGTTTCTTTTGTGCAGCATATTGTTGGATCTTGCTTCTTGACCCATTCTGCCAGTCTATTTCTTTTGAGTGGTGAATTGAGACCATTAACATTGATGATTATAACTGATACTTCTTGACTTATCATGTCATGACTTTTTCTTTTTGTTGGATTCTCCCCCTTTGCATTTAATTTCTTGTCACGCCCAACAGATTCATTCTGCTGTGCTTCCTGGGGTTGTGATCCTCATTGTCTTTTCCTAAGATATTGCCTAAAATTTTTTGGAGTGCTGGTTTGGTATTCATGAAGTTCCTAAGGTGCTCTTTGCCATGAGAGTATCTTATTTCTTCATCAATTTTGAAAGATAGTTTTTCAGGGTACGTCAATCTGGATTGGAGGCTGTTTTCCTTTATGGGTTGAAATACTTCACTCCAAGCTCTTCCTTCCTTGAGGGTTTGTGTTGAGAAGTCTGCTGTAATTCTGATGGACTTTCCTTTGTATGTGATTGGTTTCTTTCCTCTAACTGCTTGTAGAATTTTGTTCTTCTGTTGGGTTTCTGGAATCTTAACTATTATATGCCTATGTATAGATTTTTTTTTTGATCACAGCTAGTTGGAGTCCTATATGCCTCCCTTATCTGTGTGTCAAGTTCTTTTCCCCTGCTCGGGAAGTTTTCTGCCATTACTTCTGTGAACAGTTTTTTAATGTCATCTGCACTCTCTCCTTTTCTTTGATGACTCTGATCAGTCTTGTTATTCTTCTTTGCATCATCTAGAAGCTGCTGGATTACAGAAATTTTTCTTTTCCTGGTCACTAATTGCAATCTTATCTTCTATATCTGAAATTCTGTCCTCACATTGGTTCGTTCTGCTGCATAAACTTTCAATGGAGCTTTTAATCTCCTGGAAATCTGTTTGCATCTGTTTTATGGATCCCTTTTGTTTCCTATATTGGGATTCCATCATGTTCCTCAGCTCCTCTATTTTTTTTTTAATCTGTGTCCTCTCTAGACTTATTAATCATGTCTTGCACTATGGGCACAATCTCTGCTGTTATCTGAGTAATTATTTCTGATTTCATTTTTTCCAGATCCTCTTTTGTTGCCAGTTC